GGTTTGCACTTTTTCAGCAAGACTCCTACAAGTTAGCAGGATAATAATCATAAACACTTAGTGAGCACTCACCATATTCTAAACCCTTTGCATGAATTAATTCACTTAATCATCACAACAATTTTAAGAGGCCCAGAGAGGTTAAGCTATATCCAACCTAACAACACTTAATCCAAGCTGGATTTTAAGCTGAGCAGTCTGGCTCTAGAGCTGATATGGTGAGTTAGCTCCCACTAACACTCTTTGGAAGGAGACATGGATGCAGACCATCCTCAAAGAAGTGGACCTATGTCTTGCCTACTCCTGTCTTCTTCCTCCTCAATTCTCTGACCTTTATATTGTAGGACGACACACATCAGCTGGATGGAACTTCCTGAGGAGAGGGATCCATTAGCCACAGCCACATACTCCATGTCAGAAGTCAGCTCAATGCTCCCCTTAACTCATAGAGCAGTACTCTCTACTACCCTAACCCCATTGTTCCATTGTAGGATTTTTCTAAACCCATAATTATTCTCTCTCCCTGGGTCAGTAAGTCAATAGAACATTAAAAAAAAAAAAAACCAGTCTCTAAAACGACTCCTTTGCTAAAACTCTTTTCTTACTCCTGAGGGCTTTCCTCTGAGGTGCTAAAACCCCAATCAGGGAGTCATCACCATAAATAATGCATCAGGCTCTCACCAAGAATCAGTAAAGCAAGCAGCAGCTCAGAAAAGTCCATTATCCCCCCCCATGGTTTGTAATTGGGCATTGTGATTAATCCATTTATCTGCTATTCAGATGAACACCCCATAGTAAGAGTCAGTAATTACAGAATACTGAATAGGTACATGAACAACCAAAATGTACCCGTTCTTCGAGTTGCTGCAGCAACTTGATTCCCAGAATCTTTACTCATTTTGAGTTTTAAAGGTCCATAATAGCAGAGGGGAGGGAGATAGGAAGCCCAATTTTCAGAAAGTCATGAGTAAAATCCAGAAGGCTCATAAGCTTGCTTGTGCATAATCACATGAATCAATTCAGTCAACATTTATTATTCACTGTGTGTCAGGCACAGTGTTAGGAACAGGGTATGCCAAAAAGAAAAAAAAAGTTCATTATCTAACTGAAGAAATAGACATATAAAGAGCCAATAGGAAAAATGAGAAATTTATTAAGAACACAGAAGAAGGAAAATGAAAATGAGTACTCACTCCCCATGAGGGTGGAGGATAAGTGCAGATCTGGGAAGGGTGCCCAGAAGAAATGACCTTTGGGTTGAGTGTTGCAAGTTGAGGAAGACTTTTTTCCCCAAGAAGAAGGAGAAAGAGCAGCCCAGCAGAGGGACCAGTATGCACAAAACAATTCAGGCAGGAAGTGGTCTGTACAGTGAATTGCATTGGGCAGGTACGAAAGGACTTTGTATACTATACTAGCAAAACGGGGCTTTATTTTGTATCCTGTTTGCAGTATGGCAACATGGTAAGTTTTTAAAGAGATATGTGATCGTGAGCAGATTTGTGCTTCTGAAACCCCACTGAGCAGTGATAACGATGAGGCGGGATTAGAGAAGAGGACCAGCAGTTAAGAGGCTACTGCTGTGGAAAGGGCAAAAGCGAAGATGACCTGCCTCGGGCACTGATAGTGAGCTGAATAGGACAGTAGGATGGAATAGTCAAACTGGAGGCTTTGCAGGTCTTTCAGAAGGCCATATCAGAAAGTTCCTGATGATATGCAGGGAGCAGAGGTGATGATGCCTTTAGCTGAGGAAGAGAAGTATATCAAGGAGCCCGATAAAGCGTAAATAGAACTAACATTGCTTCATGTATATCATGTGCCAGGGGCTGTCACAGTATTTTCTTATATCCTATGCTTACTCTGTACCATAAGGGGAACCAGCTCAAATGAACACATACGGGGACTGAAGTCAAAGTAGTTAAAGAGCGCACTCAGAGCCATCCAGGACATACTGTGCCCACCAAGCCTGTGCGCTGATGTTTCCACTGCCCCAACTCTGCACTTCACTTATTGAGGGAGGCTTTGCTCACAATATAAGCAACTTTATTCTTCACTTTCTCCTTCTGTCTGACAATGAGAATGTCTTTCCCTATCTTTATCTTGTAAAAGAAAGAAAGAAAGAAAGAAAGAAAGAAAGAAAGACCTTCTTGCCTACCCTCAACAAGACATTTCTCCCTCAAAAAGTATCTCTGCCCTCCTGACTCCTCACACACTCCTACTCACACATAACATTATTTTAGAAGTAGCAAATGTAGGGCAAGGGGCAATGAGTCAGAAGTGGTGGCAGTCTGGTTCCAGGGCTGTCCTAGCCCATCAGGTGACTTTCAGAAACTGCTTGACCTCTCAGCTCTTGTGTCATCACTTATAAAATGGGGATATGGAATGAATAGTAACCTTTGCTTACCTCACAAGATTATCGTAAGAGGAAATGAGATAAAGTGCTTGCAAATGACATTAACAAAAGTAAAAGGTGCTATAGAATTATCTGGATTATTGGGCACTGTGGTCCATCAGACTGTGATCTCCTCTCTGGGCTGAGGTCTGGTTGCCCTTATCTTTCAATCTGGAGGACCTAATTATTCCTGGTACAGAGTCAGGGTCTGATAAAGATGTTGAATCAGCAACAAGGACCACTACCACCATTGACACACATACACACACGCAAACACACAGGTGTCCTTTCCTCTCTCTCTCCCACCATAATGCAGGCAAACCCATAATACCTCTACTTTTGGAAGTACTGCTCTAATCCTGGTGTATTCCCAAAACAGTCAGTTCCTGGAGGAAAACCAAGTGATTGTCACGCGCCTGGATGCCTCCACTGGGCACGTTTGACCAAGTGTGAAACCTCTCTTTCTCAAGGGAAATTGCTAAGCACTGAACCCCCCAGACTCACCGCCCTCCAAGAAGCCCAGCTGGGTCTGCAACCCCCACACCTTTCTGCCAGGCATGAGACGTGTTTTTTTTTTTTTTCCTCCCAGGAGCTCCGCCGCCTCTACTGCTGTTTTCATTGATGCCTTGAGCAGAGCTGGCATGTGCGACTGCTGAGAAGGGGGAGCGTGGAGCCGCGGGGGAAGCAAGTAAAAATAGCCTGGCGCGCGTCTCTCTGCCTGCTCTGGACGCCTTTAACCCTGGCCAAGGTGGGGAGCTCAGCAGCCACTACTGCACTGTGCGGAATCTGGCCAGAGGGTCTGCACCCAGTGTCCCCGCCCCGCGGTGCGGGGGCTTAGAGACCCGTGAAAACTTTTTTTTAGAAACCGAGAGGGGGGAGGGAAGAGCAGAAGAAAGCTGTTTCTTGCTTCCAGCGCTCCAGCCACCTGGCTGCAAGGACTGCTACGTGCCCACTGGTCCAACACTTTACAGAAGTGCAGCCTTGACTCTGAGCTATTTTTAGCAACCTCTTCCGCGGGTGGGCGATCAGAGGGAGGATGCAAGGGGATTAGTAAGGCTAGCTCTCTGCTGTGAAGCTGGGCGCCCTTGCGGGCTGGGGAAGAGGAAGTGTGAGGGGACCTCAGGCATGCTGGCTTTGCCCTAACTCAAGGAGACAGCATTAGCTACTGAATGCCCTACTGTTTTCAAGCCCCAGAGCGTGTTTGTTTTTCGAAATCGACAATTGCCAGATGCATGCTGCTTCTAGTCTCTCAGATAATGGGGATTTTAAAAGCTTTGCTGCCTATGCTGTGGGGTAAGGGTTAGCTGCTGATGAAGAAGGGTCTCTTTTACCTTTTTGCATTCCAGCAAGACAGAGGGACAATCCCCGCGCCACACCTCCATCCCCGCCCCACGCTGCATATGGGTAACCATATGTGAAATGTACGGCAGCCCCACCAGACACCCGGCTATTAATAGAGCCCGGGAGTTTGCTCTCTTGTCTTTTTCCTGCCACCGAGTAAGGGATGATCTTCACACACATACCCCACTCCACCCCCACCTCGGCGCACCGTTTCTCCGGGAAGGTAAGGGGGCTGCCCACGCTGATCCCCTTCGTGACTACAGGTGCCTAGAGCCAACGGACTAGCGCAGTTGTAACGACAGCAGGGTCAGTACGAGGCCAGGGAACACAGCCTCCAGTCTTGAGACGTAAAACCCAGCAGGGCTCTTGGAGGCTCAGGGCCAATTCGAGAGCAGAGAAAGGGCAGCTACTGGGCTGCCGAAGGTGGAGGTCGGGGGGGGGGGGGCGGCTGGCAAGAGCGCAATTTGCGGAGCTAGAGCGACCTCCTCCAGGTCCGCTGCGGGACGCGTGGCGGCAGACCCCTGGTCGCCGCAGCCCTGGGCGCGCAACCCCCACCCGGCGCGGGCTCGGCTGCTGCAGGAGCGGGCGCTGTCCCTGGTCCTGAAGGTGGCCGCGGCTCCGGCTGCCTACCCGGGTTTAGCGCCCCCGAGGCCGCTCAAACGTTTGAGGGCTGCAGACCTCTCCCCGGCCCGGATCTGGGCGAGCGAGTCTGGTGGTGCTGCCCAGGTCCCATCACCGGCTCGGTTCGGGCCCCCCAAACGGCCCGGATCTCTCCGCGGGGCTGCGGGGACCGGGAGCTGGGGACTGTTGGAGCTTCAAGGGTAAAGCGGAGGCAGCGGCTGGAGACGGTCAAGGCGCTGCAGGGAGCCGGCGTGGCCCCCGGGATCACCCACTCCAGCTTTGCACAAAGCCGGGACGGTGGAGCCCTAATGCAGCCCAGAGAAGAGGGCCGGGGAGCGCTGCCGCCCAGGGTTTGGGACTTGGGGAGAGAGAAGCGAGCAGCGGGTGACAGGAGAGGGAGCCGGGGTGAGCGCGACTCTTTTGCATTTTCAAGAGGGAGGGGACCTGAGACATGCACTGCCTTTCCCCCACCACACACACACACACACACACACACACACACTCGGCCGGCAGAAGCAAGCGGGATGGAGCCGGGGAAAGTTTGGCACTAGGTGCTGAGCGGCGGCGGCGGCGGCGGCGGCGGCGGCGCGCGGTGGTCCGGGGTGGGCTGCCGGGGTCGCCCAGAGCCCCGGGCCTCTCGCCTCCTTACCTCGGTGTTCTCGGCAGCGTTCTCCGCCATTTTCCTCCTTAGGAGCAGGCAGCGGGAGGAGTGTTTCATGCCCATAAGAGCCAGCAAGGGTTTGGTGATACAGGGATAGTGGAGAAAGAGAGAGCTGGTGTAGCTTTAAACGAGAGAGAGAGAGAGAGAGAGAGAAAGACAGGAGAGAGAGAGAGAGAGAGAGAGAGAGAGAGAGAGAGAGAGAGAGAGAGAGAGAAAAGAAAAAAACCCAACCCAGCCCCTCTGCTGGAGCGTCAGCCGATACAATCAACTACGGTTGAGTCTTTTCTGCAGTCTCCACTTTGTTTTATTTTCCTCCCTTCTCATCTGCTCCGGATTCCTTCACACAGTTTCAAGTGCTTCTCTCGCACCCGACCCCCTCCCCGCCCCTCTCCACCCGCGCTGCGGGCTGAGCTGGAGGGAGGCAGCCCCGAAGGCTCCGCGGCGGCGGTGGCGGCGGCGGCGGCGGCGGCGGCGGCTCCTCTCCCGAGGCTGGCAGAGTCCGGCCGGCCGGAGGCAGCCACCAACTCCTCTCAACTTCTGCCGATCCGCTGGGCGAAGCAACACGCTTCCTGCGCGTCTCTCCTAGGGGCTGAGCCGGGTGAGTGGGGGCGGGGTAGGAGGTTCGGTAGGGCGGGCGGCGGCTGGGCGCACTCCGAGGCCCCCAGCGCCCCCGGGCCCGCCGCCTCCCCCGGGCTCCGGGGGTCTCCGTGCACCCCCGCTCCCCGGCGCTGCGCACAGCTGGAGGGCGAGGGCCGCGGGGCGCCGCCGGGCCACGCGGGCGGCTCGGAGAAAGCAGGCGCGGGGCTGGGCTCTTGCCTCTGCCTAGCCCCGGCTGTGTGTCCTCCCACCCAGGACAAGCTCTGGGCAAGATTGGGCCATAGTTACCTCGCCCCCACCCCACCCCAACCCCCTAGCTCTTCCGTCAATCCTTGGTGCCTTCCTCGGCGAATTACCGCTTCGGGAGCGAAGGGGTGGGTGTCTGGGTGAGGGAGGGTCCTTAACTCCTTCAACTCTAGGGCTAAGTGTGCTGTCATCTCTCCCTTTTCTCCCACTGACCCTGTCCAGGCGCTTGGGGCTCCAAGCCTCTGTCAGGCTGAGAGGTTGCGCCAGAGGTTCGGCCAGAGGTGGCTTCGGAAAGACTGTGGGACAAAGTCAAATACATGAACCTATAGGCCTGTTACCCCTGCCTCAGTCTTCCCGAGCGGCCCCCTGCCCACACATTTCTCTTCTCCCTCCTCACCCCTCCCCCATCGTCACCAGATTTTGAAGTCCCTTTTATGGGAGAGAGGGAGGATGTCACGTACCCATTAGGATTCTCTTGATCCTTTTTTAAGGGAGTTTGGGCGGCAGCAGGGGGTGTGAATTTTTATACAATGCATTCCTGTCTTCACTTTGAGAGCTTCTTTTTCTCTGTCTTACTGGCCATCTGTCAGGCGGGTGGGAAATAGAACAAGGGGGGGGGAGGGCACTCTGTCTTTCCCTTTGCAACAGGCCACTCAGGCTGGACTTCTTCAAAGACAGCTGCACTTTCAAGCTTTCAGCCCACAAGTCAAGGACAGGGACCTAAAAGATGCTTCTGAGCACCCTGGTTCTCTTCGCTTCATCCCTGTACTTATGTAGGGAGATCAGCCCTGCATGCATGACCTGTTTGTTTTTATCATCACCTTTTGACTGCCAGGAAATGTGAGCCTGGTTGTCCTCAACTAACCTCAGAGTCCATTGAAGAAATGGGCCAGAATTTAAAGATGTCTCCATCACCTGGTCCTAAGGGAAAGAGAGGATGCATTGCAATAACAGGAGGAGGGTGAGGAGAAGTGGAAGAGTGGGAGTCAGTAAAAAAAAAAAAAAAACTGAAAAGACAATGGGCAACAGGCTTGAGTTAATGGCCTCCTGCGTGTGTGTGTGCGTGTGTGTGTGTGTGTGTGTGTGTGTGTGTGTGTTGTGGAAGAGTGAATGTAAATGAAGGAATGAGCCTAACTCCTTAACCTTTTCCTCTCTCAGACCACAGACCCTGACTAGTGTTGAGAGTGAGTGAGCAGAATCTTTGGCAACAGCTGGTCATCCACCTTCCAACATACTGCCAACATGCAGAAAGTTGTAGGGGGACGAATGAGATGAATCTAAAGAATAACTTTTACCCTCTTGAACGCCCTTTTCTCTAAGCATTTTTCTCAGAAACAAAAGATTATGAAACATCTCATCCACTACCAATAGAGTCTCAGTACTCATACAATCAATGAAAATCAGACAGGATCCTCACAGCTCTTTAGCCCCATCCTCTCATTTTACAAATAAAGACCCTGAGATCAGAGAAAGGAAGACATTTGTCCATGATCCTTGGAGCCAGCTGAGGGAGCATCTGAGAGCAGCTCCCCAGCTTCCTGACTTTCAGTTCAACACTCTCCCCCACCATACCCCACACTGCTTCTGCCTATGCAGCAATCCATTCTGTGACTAACCAGGGAGGAGGGGAGCTGAGACAAGCTCCCACCGAAATAGGCTGCTGCCTGTGCGTGATTATGTTGCTATGAGAACCTCAGTGGGTGTGTTTCCTCCGTTCTCTGTTGAAATCTTTTGCTTGGCTTGGCTTCTCCCCAAGCACAGACACAGCTCCCCTTAGAATGGGGAGTAGAGAGGCTGAGATAGAGAGCTGCATTCTCCTGGCAAGAGCTTTCCAAAATTCCAACCCATCCAACCCAGAGCCAACCTGGGGCTGCAAGTGAGAAGCTTAGGCTACCAAAGTGGTTCCATAAATGGTTGGAGTGAGCTCTCTTGAAAGTGGATACTCCAGTCCTCTTTTGAGCCCTTTGTAGCAGAGAGTTGTTATTCCTGCTGTGCTCCCAGTTTTAAATACAAATTCACAAGCAAAAGAATTGTTGTCTTAAGAGACTTAAGTTCTGGGGTGCTTTGTTACACAGCAAAAGATTACCTGAACACTCCTCTCTTACAGTGGTGAAAATTAATGATGGGTGAAAAGTACCTAGCACATAAGTAGGCATTCCCACTACCTCACCATTCACAGGAATTCAGTCTTTCTCCCTCCCTTTTGCATAAGTATATTACCATAATTTTTACCATAATAATTTCTTCATTCCAAAAAGAATTTACTGGACATCTGTTATACGCCTAGCTCATTAATAAACACTGGGATTGACGATAGGCAACAAAAGGTATTGGACTAACCATTGAGGAGCTCTGGATTTTGTCACCTTGAATGCTTTTGCAAATGTACAGAATTTTCATAGAGAAGCTTTAGGAAGGATTCTGATGGGATGCAAAAAGATACATGGGATGACAAGAATTATAAGTGGATCCATAAGAGCATCCCTAACATGTAAGTTAAATAGATAGTCTGGGACGATATGCCCCACCAAGTAGAGGTGTCCTGAAGACACATTTCACTTATGTCTTCAGTGCAACAAAATACATTGATTAGTACATGGAAAATGCATAGGATAATGCCTAGCTCATGATAAGACCATAAGCATTGTGTTAACATTTGCTAGGCCCTGTCCTAGGCTCTGAGTCAAACTTCATAGAGCACTTATTACATGCCAGAGACTTATCTAAACTTGATGTGTGCTTGTGCAGTTCTTTTGACAACTCCTTTGGGGGAGTACTTTTATTATCCTTAAAACACAGATGAAAGAACAAAAACACAGAGAGTTGACCAAGTGATAGATTCAGTATTCAAATCTAGGATGCTTTATTCTATAGCATGACTTTCAAGAGGTTAATCAAATTTTGTAAATAAGACAGTGGTTCTCAAATTTGGCCGCATAGTGGAATCATCTGGGGAGCTTTAAAAATATCAATCCTTTGGTTCAACCTCCAGAGAGGATGATTTAAAATTATCTAGTTAATTCTAATGTGCAGTCATGGTTGAGGACAATTGGATAAGGATATGTGGAAAAGATGAAGGGTCTCACAGAGAAAGAAGATCCCTAAGTTACAGAAAGGACCCCCTAAAACTATAGGTCCACAGTATACAAAGGTCCATCTCTAACACAGAGGTCCTTGAAACCCATAAAGTTCTTGAAAATGAAAATGTGCTGATGGTTGAACCAGCATTCAAAAGTTGGAATGAGACTCTTGGGAAGGGTTATTAATTGGAAAAGTTATCTAGTTTTGTGAGATGCCACAGAGAAGTGAATTTCCTACCACTGAAGAGTTCGGTCAGCTGTATTATTTGGCATAGCTGTTGCAGTGGAACTACAAACCCTAAAAGATTGAGCAAGGCCTTTAAGGTTCCATCCACCCCATGCAGTGACTCCAGAATTGTCTCCTTTCATTTCTGAACCCTCCAGGAGGTGAAGATTGTGTAAATGTTCAACTTAAGGAGTCAGTCAACACTTCCTTTGTTGCTTCCCAAAATCCAGTGTCCTTGCCGTCAGGATGCAATGTCTCTAACTTGCATACCAAGGTGTCTGGGAAAGCTCAGACTCTGGCTCATTCAAAAATAAAAGATGTATAAGGTATGTCATGTGGCTTCCCCTTCCTCCCTCTAGAAGAACCTCACATGTGACCTGGGCTCACATATGGCCACAGCATGCTGCAGTGAATCCATGGCTCCTTCAGAATCAGGCCACAGATGTGATCCATCACCACTTTGTGGCAGCTCACCCAGCAGTGTTCTTAGTATCTTCTGGGCCAGATGGGAGCCAAGCCAAGGCTGCAGCAGCCAGCTAGCTACCTGGCTGAGCCTCCATGCAGACCCACACCTGGGCAGTTCTCCTGCACAAAAGCCTTTGCGTCCTATTTTTCTAACCCAAAGCCCAATTATTTCTTGAACTACATCCCAAAGAATAACTTGCAAAAGTGTCACCAGTACCTGCAAAATTTGGGGTTCTTTTTTTCTTCTTTTACCATTAAAACCAGAATGTTATTTCTTTCTTGCTGTGATAATGCCTGAGTAAATCAATTCATCATTGTATTGTCCTGGATATAAAAGCATTTGGTTTGATTATTTATTCTAACAATATTTGAGAAGCATTTTCTTAGTAGTTCTACATCAATAGCTAAATCCTTAGAATTCTGTGCCCCTAAAAAACTGAATACTCTTGTTCTATTCTCCTAAAAGACTGCCTTTCTCTCTGGA